TCACCTTTGATGTGTATTTGGGTTGGGGATGCTCCACCTTCTCTCTAGAACCCAAAACTTAGCAAAAAATAAAATTTCTTACTCTCTCCCTGAATCCCCCTATTTTTATATAAAATAGCATGCGTAGGCAAAGTGCGTAGCCTACGTAGATTGGCTACGCAGGCCTGTATAGCCTACGCAGCTTAAGTCCTCCCGCTCACTTCCATTCTGTTTTTGCCTATGCAACCTGCGTAGGCTACGCAAGAAGGCTACGTAAGTCTGCTGGAATCCTTTCCTCCCTCTTAGCTCAATCATTCCAATCTATGCCTTTAATCATATAACTTGAGGACCTTAAATCCATCTTACCTTCATGCCTAAGTATTGTAATGATCCTATTACCCTCGTGTGGGTTCGCAAGCACTTCGAGGTCTTGCAAAATATTCTCTTAAGCTCGAGTTCGGCTTAATCTTATTAGAAAAGTTTACTGGGGCTTCACAACAACGTTCCGAAATTCTTAGCAACTTCGATCTATTTTAGAAATATAGCAAGTTGGACTAAAATTAGGAAGATTATCACGATTCTAGCTCATTTGAGCACATTATCAAACACTAGGTAGGCATTAATATTTTTAAGGCCCTTTTGTGAAAGATTCCATTATTCCCCAACCCATTCTCTACCATTTTTAGCTCACAACCTTCCCACATACTTCAAGGATATATGCATACAAGACAACAACCCCCACACTCAAGAATTGTCTTTCTAATTATCCCCCTTTTTAGAAGATTTTCGAAATTAAGAGTTAGGGCATAGATTCTTACCTTTAGGATGAATACCTAGGGTGCTTCTCTTGATAATCTTCAAAGGTTTATGCAAGAATTGAAGAGTAACTTGATAAAGATCACTTCCTCCCTCTAGGGCTCTCTCTCTCACTCTAAAGGTATCAAAAATAAGCTCAAAATGGTCTATGGGATGTGTTTTAACGGAATAGGGTCGGATTTAAAAACCCCAAAAATGAAGCTCCGGAACAGGTTCTGCGGTCGCATATGGCACCGCATAATGAATATATGGTCCGCGAAATGACCGCGAAACTTGGGTACCAAAACTGGAAAGGAACTGACCAGGTCTGCGTTCACTATGCGGCCCGCAGACCTGTTCTGCAGTCGTATAATGCACCGCAGAACGGTTCTACGGTCGCATAGTGCACCGCAGAACCTCCCTCCGAAAAATCTCAAAGAGGGATATGCGACAAGAGTGCGGCTCATGAAATGGTTATGCAGTCGCATAATCGGCCGCAAAAATGACATTAAAAATGGCCCAAAAGACTGCTCCACTTTGCGGCCATTCTGCGGTCGCAGAACGGACCGCAGAAATGCCTACTTCTGCCCAACATTTTTCTTCAACTCCCCAGCGCAATGTTCAATCCAAAAAGTCTGAATTCTACTATTATTAACCTCTACGCCTACTTCGACATCACAGAATCCGGGTTTTTAGGAAAAAATTTTACGAGGCCTTACAGGCAGGGTCCCGGCAAAACGCTTGCCCTCGGGAGTATCGGGACCATGACCCCTGGTCGAATCCCAGAGGTCTCAGAGAGTATTACCAGATAATCGAGTACAACCGTGATATCTGTGACCATCCGGATGTCACAGCGTGAATCTCAGCACATATCGGCAGAGGACTGGTGATTAGTTAAACAGAAGATTTTTAACTTTTATGGAATTATACTTATGGTAAAACTCCTCTACTATATAAAGAGGGGTCTAATTATTCATTAGGGACATTGTAACACGCACATCAAGGCAATATACTTTTATTTTCTTTGTTTTTCAAAGTTCTTACTTTTGTTCATCAAATCATCAGTAACGTGAGCCCGAGATCGAAGGTAGATATTTCATTAAGTTGTTATTAAGTTCGGAATCACTCCTCTTGATTGGTTTGACAATTTATTATGTCCTTTATTTGTTTAAACTAACGCAATTTATCGTTTGTATTGAATTAATCCGCGTATCCTTAAAATCACTTATAAATTTAATTGTTATCCGTTTTTTAGGGTAAAATTTATATTTAACTAATCACAAGACCCTGACACATCAAAATTACTAGTGCCTGTTTCCTTTCTCGATTTGGCCAATATTTTACAAATTACCGTAAGTATTATTTTCCCTCCAGAAAGTAAATTACCACGGATATATTGACTACTTGAAATGAGAATGTCCTTTTGCAGGAACAAAGATTTGTAGTTCTCAGTTAGAAAAAGTAAACTAGCTAGTGTTGAAAAAGTTAAGGAAACAAGCTTTAACTTCCTTGCCTTTCCTACTCTGATCTAGCTACCCATGAATCAAAATTTTTAGATCGTGTTTCTTCAACTAGCTTAGAGCCAACATAATTTAATCTGTTCGCCTCTCAAAGTTTATATTGGGCATCACTATTAATAAAAAAATTTAGTAACCATCTTGATGACGTCATCCTTTAGTATAGCTTTGTTTAAAATAACTATTTGTGATCCTCATTGTTTAGAACAAACAAGCGTTGTATTTAAGGCTCAACATTTTTCTCCTAGAGCAAATCAGCTTATGGTTACTTATATTCTTCTTTCCCTTCCATTTTCAGAAAAATAAGGTACTAATTGCAAAAACATGGATTCAGTTTGTAGTCGGAATCATATGTGCTAATTAATGTAATGGAGTAACAGCGCACTACCCCGTTTGGAGCTGTTCTTAAATACTACGTACTCAGTGTTTTTTCACAATAAATAAACATTAAGTAGTATTACCGTTCACTATTGATTATTTTGAAAAAGTTTAAAAAAGACACGCTAAATTAAATGCTACCTCATGCTTGCGCCAAAAAGTTTAATTTGAATCTTTGAATTAGGAATATATGTAACTGATGTATAAAATATGCGTGATATATGTTGATTCATTAAAGCATATCCTTCTTTAACAATGACTGGCTCTGAAAAATATAATCAATGCCTATAATACAACTCTGAGGTGGACTATAATACTTACTTGATGTCTAAGGAGAAGTGTATTTAAAATTGGAGTAATAAATACTGAATTTTATTCTGTTAAAAATAAATGAAAGATTTTTCACCTTTAATCCTCTCGGTAAAAACTTATCTGCATCCGGTAAGGCACAATGTGTCTCAGCAATTCAGCATACACTTATATTAAATCATACATTACTGCACATTCTTGCCTCAATTTATCTTTTTTTTCAATGCCTCAATTTAATTATTTTTTACCTATGGTAGTATAATTTGATGCAAATACCGGAAAGGGTAAATATTTATCCCCCATCCACCCTTCTCTTTTTTATGGTTTGCTCATTGCACGTTTAATTTACTAGCTAGTCCGGAATATAATTTTTAAAACTGAGAAGCAAAAAATTGGTGAGAAAAACAGAAGCATGAGAAAATTTCAAAAATGGGAAAATAGACAAGAATATAGATGGTGGCCAAAAAAGGCAGGAAACGTGGGAATAGATAGACAAGTAAAAGTAGAAGAAACATTAAATGGGGTATATATGCTAGCAGAAGAGGTTGAGACACGCTGTTTTCTTCACTAGTTTCCATCAAAATAACACATGCATATCTCTCTCTATATATAATTATTATTACTAAAATTCCCATTGGAGTATCTTTTTATTTTACTATAATAAGCTATTGTAACTGTAATGCCTCCTTCCTTACATAGTACCATAGCATTAAATTCTCAATCAATAAACATTTATTAGTACTTCTTTTCTTGCTATTAAACCCAATAATCATCACGCACAAAGGGCAAGTCCTAGTCCCACTTTCCCCTTTACCTTGTTGAATTCATATGAAGTTTCCCACATCAGATAATTCATGTACTTCTCTCAAAGTTGCAGCACCATTTCTGTCCCCAACTACTGTCCTCTCCAATTTCCCAAATAAGTTGCTGTCCCAACAGAAAATGGAAAGTCAATCAACAGAAGAATTGTCACAAAATCAAACAACAGATGATCAAGAAAACAATGATCTTATTCTGGATCTAAGTCTTTGTAATACTGACCACGGGTCCAAATCCAATATTCAGACAAGTTCATCGGATCCTAATTCTCGAGGTAATAATATTAACGAAACTGAGCCTCGGGTATTTTCTTGCAACTATTGTCAAAGAAAATTTTACAGTTCTCAAGCACTTGGCGGCCATCAAAACGCACATAAACGAGAGAGAACAATGGCCAAAAGAGGTCAAAAAATTAGTTCAACAGCCGCTAATTTTGGTTACGATAAATATTCAAGTATGGCTTCACTTCCATTGCATGGCTCATTCAATAGATCTCTTGGAATTCAAGTCCACTCTATGATTCACAAGCCCAGTAGCCCATTTGGTGCACCCTTGTACGGACATCCCGGTTGGTCAATTCGACGGCCTATTGATCAGCAGCCGGCTATTGGTCGACTTGCTCCACCAGATTGTTATAATTACAACGGTGGAACATCATCAGTTGGTGGTGCTGCTAGATTTGATAACAATATTCAAAAGTTTCCTTCTGTGGTTGATGGTATTTCAGCATACAGATGGGATAGTGGTGGTGGTCCTCATATTTCCAAGAGTAATAATCAAGAAGAATTGAAGAAGCTTGACTTGTCTCTCAAACTCTAGGAGTCCTAGTAGTAGAATTTTAATTTGGTTTTTCTTACAATTTTTCGTCCTTTGTTTTATTCAGATTTTACTTTCTTTTTCAAGCTTCGTAATTACTTAGTAGCATATCTGGTCGGGTTAATTTAGGCCCACTGTAAATGTTCTTATGCGGCCGGCTGCAGTAGTAGTACTCTGCAGACGACTAGTTAATTCTTATGATGTGATGATTTGCGACATTTTGGTTTAGATCATGCTCAAATCTTACCTTCAATGGTATATATGTTAAATAATTGAGTTCAAAGTTTACAAGTACAGGAAATGCATGTTTCACAACCCATACGAAGAAATTAACTGTACATTTGGCCTTGGAAATTTATTCTATCATATATCTGGAGGGAGCATCAAGCAACGGTCAAGTTGTCTCCGTGTGACCTTGTAGCCGTGGAATCAGTCATTGATACTTGCGTCAAGGTAGGCTGTCTACATCACACCCCTTCCCGGAACCCGTGTGAACACGAAATGCTCGGGCTGGCCTTCTATATATCTGTAATATCATGAGATCGATCTTGAATGTGACTAATATGTCACATGCCGACAAAAACTGTCTACATCACATCACTGATACTTGCGTCAAAGTAGGCTGTCTACATCACATCCCTTCTCAAAACCCGTGTGAACACGAAATGCTCGGACTGGCCTTCTATATATCTGTAATATCATGAGATCTATCTTGAATGTGACGAATATGTCACATGCCTACAAAAATCCGTACTATTTGATGAATTAATAACAACTCCAAATAATCTTCCAGTTTCTATGGCTGAGATTTTATCCAAAATGGGCAGTGAACAGTTGATGAAATAGACTATCTATTGAAGGGTCTTTCTCATTGAGTTGGTGGAGGCATGTGGAAAGTAAAAGTTTTTGTAATGAACTCTTGTCCACGCTCACTTTGATATCTTTTCAAGTCTAATAAAACATCTTTAAGCTATTCAATCACATCATTATCGTCATATATGTTAATGCTGAAAAATCTTGATTTCTTACCTAAGAAATCTTTTAAACAGGAACACTCCACAATTAGGTGGGGCCAAATTAGACTTTATGATGGATTTAAAATTTAATCATGTCATTTTCTCAAAGTAAAATCCAACTCAAAGCAACAAACAAGAACAACTGACCTCCACTAATTAATTACAAGGCATGATGTGCATGTAAAGATAGTTATGATTAATGTTGAAGAAAAGACACTTGGCGCGTGCAAGAGAACATCCTAAATTGTCTATGTACGTGAAAGCCAACGAAATTAAAGGTTGTAGGGTTGGTGGGCATACTGAAATAATCAGAGTAAGTCAAGAAAATATTTTTCTCTGGTGTTTTTATGGCAGGAAAAACGACAAATAGTTTGAAAGCTTAAAAATGGACAACGTGGGCCAAATCTATGTATTTTCATTGCTTGCTTGATGGTACTTTCTTCCTGTCATTTTTTCCGCAGCTAATGAAAGCAATATGTACAACTTAGCAGCTCCTCAACCACCACAATTAAACTCATTTTGCTACTTAGATCCAAAGCATGAGCAAAAAGCCATATGTATTTGACATTCCAGCTATCAAATAAACAACCGCAAGACTGAAATGACAATGGCCTAAAAAAAGGATAGGACACGTGAGTTTTCACTCTCTACGGCTAGAATGGATTAGAATAGATATTTTCAAGAAACTATATTTCCGATTTTGTATCATATCCACCCTTGATATTACTAGGAGTATTATTTTGTGAACCTTCAATTAAGGATGTCTCTTAAGAAACTGCACTCATTAGAGCCTAACTGGAGACACATAGACAGTTAACTGCATTCTTATAACTTATCCCAATTTGCTTTCTTAAAACTGAAGTGCAAGTTAGTTATTGTTAAGTTCCGATAATGCCACTTGCACAGATGCAAGAGGAGTTGTCTATACAAAAATCCAAAGGTTAATTCTCTATAGCATATAACTTATAATAAAATTCACACTAAAACGCAGCAATACGTTGGACACGGCATGTCTTTGTTACATTTGGTGGTGACGTGAAAAATGCTTTATTCATTTGTGAGTCACTCATATTCCACATCCCGTACTTCTAGTAAGATTAATTAACACGGAATTTGCAAGTAATTCTTTGCTAACTATGCGTCAACGGTGAAGGAAATTGCTTTCCATCTTTACTCAGGATAAAAAAGATCATGTGATAAGAGGACAACATACCTACGTACCGAATGCTAAGAGGTCATTAAAAGAAAAGGTAGTACTAAATAATCAAAGGACATGAAGTATTAACAAGCAACCTGCAACTTAGACTTATGTCATTCTTTCTGAAAATGCCTTTTCCCCTGTTTGGTAGGTTAAGAAACTGTTGAAGAAAAAGGAAATCTCCATTTTCCCTTTCCATGTGCTTTTCAGGGAGAAACTGCCAGTTTATCTGAATGCTTAAATAATCTATAAGTTGGTTGTAGCCAGCACAAACCAGCCAATGTAGTATGACCCAGAAGAGATAACGCTACTAATTGTCTCAGATGTTGCTTTCCCTTTAAAAAGCAACTCTCACCCATGAAGATAACATTTAGACTAGGAAAGCAACAACGGTGAACAAATCAATTCAACCACTAATATAGCACAACCAAAAGATGTTTTCAGTCAAACTCACAGTTCCTCAAATTGCAATAAAAGTTTCACTTTTCAAGGGTTTGACCATTTTAAACCATTAAACTCAACATACAGTACAGGTGTAGGTAGTGGTAGAAAATTGATGTCCAGTACCTTGAGACTACGAGCAAAAAACAAGAACGTTACCAGGGCAATAATTGATCTAGACGACCAATCCCCTCTTCCCCATTACTGGATATAGCTTCTTAGACCATAAAAAAAAAGTCTGTTGAATCAATGAATATATGTTATGTTTACCCGTAAAACGATACAGTTAAATTTATACGTGATTTCTAGACAAGTGAACTAATTTGATCCTGAAATAATATAATAATCGAAGAAATACACAACAATGATGAAATCAAAAAGTAAGAGAGTAAATTGTATAAAGCTTTGTATAGAATATAGTATATGTTCTTGTCCGAAATTTTCGTGTCCTTTACAATGGTAACTGAACTCACTATTTATAGTTATGTCTAGGGAAAGATGTCATAGGATCGTGCCCTCCTTTAATGCCAATTATGAGGGTCATTGATGAAAATGTAACGGTGAATATAAATGCCAAATTCTCTGTAACGGACTGTTGCTCTTAATGCTGCAGGATATTCCTTAGTAAATGCCGCCGGGCGCAGAGCATTTAATACACCTTCATGAACGTTATCCTTTCCGGTGACAAGCAGAGTGGCTGCGCTCGGTCCTCAGCCATCCCATCTCACATTCCACGTGTCCTCCTTTTAGTCAGCCACGTGTCATATCATATTTTACCCTATACAGATAGTTCCCTGCTTTCTGGTGACATAACTTTGTGTTATCGGGAAGTGGGTAGAAACACCTTTTTGGCGGGAATTACTATAACTCCCCCTGAAGGTCTCTAACAATTGATTAGACGTATATCTCTCTGCATTTAATGTCCCGAACACGCGTCATCCCATGATTCAGCACAGCTTTTGCCGATTATCGAGGTAATCATGGCCATGAATTTAGCCGCCAAAATTTTACTTATACGCAACTTCCTTTTCCTTTGTGTTTCACAATTGTTCGAGCTTCTGATTTGCATCCTTGTTTTCAATCCCTTTTCTAATTTTCTTCAAACACAACCTTTTCCATCTCCTTCTTCAATGGCTTCTTCCTTTAAATGTGCTGTTTTTTCAAAGAATAAGAACAAAACCGATGACTATGTTCCTCCAACAATGGGTTCCATCATCCCAAGAAGGCTTAGTACTTCGAAGGATTTTGAAGAGAAATTTTCTAGTGCTAACCCTCGTACATGGGCTGTTAGTAGGTACCCTTCTTCCATTCGTCCTTCCAGTATTCCCGTTGTGAAGGAGGACTGTCGCTGCAATAAGTTGGAAATCATTGCTCCTGATCTATCGGAGCGAGTGACCATTCCCAAGAAAGATTTCAGATATTTTTTCACGTACCCATTTACTTTGGGTGCATTTTCTTTGAGTCGAGAGCTTGATTTCGTGATTGCAGAGTTTTGTCTTCGCTACCAGGTGTGGTTGGCACAGGTAAGTCCTTCAGTGTGGAGGACGATCGCCTGCCTTCGATGTTTGTGCCAAAAAACTGGAGAGGAGCTAACTTTAGCTCATTTGATGAATCTTTATTACCCCAAATCTTCTGCGGGGGAATGATAAACCTCTGCAAGCACGACCACCATGCTTTGTTGTCTAGCATGGATGATGACAACAACCGTGGGTGGATGGAACGGTTCGTTACAGTTGCCACCAACGACATTATTCCGACAACGACTTCATCCTTTCCAGTTACTTGGAACCGCACTCGTAAGTTCCTTGTATAGTATTCCTTTCACTAGATATTCTTCTATGGCCGTATCTTCACCCAAAAATCATGGTAACTTTAATTTACCTTACTTCCATTTTTGTATATGAAGAACTTGGTTGAACCCTTCTGACTTGTTCACGAAATCAGGTCTACATGCAGGCTCTGTTGTTGTCCCCGAGGAGGACATTCTAGCTAATCATGTTGATGCAGCAAGGCTGCTTCAGGAAGCACTTATTCGAACATGTATCTCCGGGCCTGTTTCGAGTGCAAATACTTCTTTACGGAGTCCCTAGCCGGAGGATAAACAAACAAAGAGAAGATGTTCCTCCGCGGCCGGAGAGAAGAATAAAAGGGCAAAGATTGATGACCCCGAGTCTTCTCCGGTGGTGATGATGATCGGTCCTCCTTCCGGGCCGGTCGTAGACATTGTGATGATCGATGATGATAAAGAAGCTAGTGATGAGGGAGATTCTTTACATAGAAGGTGACGATCCTCATCATCTCAACAGGATGCTCAACCTGTTGAGATAGTTGCACCAACTGAAGACGACGTCTCAGCCCTTTGGGGAGAATCTGATTTAGTAGAATATGCCAACTCCCGCTTCCGGGCCCTAATTGCTGCAGTCGGTGCTGCGAGGCTGAGTACTGGGTCTTTGCCGTCTTTGGTTGGCGAACATCAAACAACCAGCACTGCATTGGATGTAGTTGCTTCTCACTCTTCAACCCCATCAGCTTCATCTCCACCTTCACCAATACCAGCAACTGCTATATCATTTCCATTTTCGTCCACTCTTCCACCAG